GTGGTGGTGGTGGTGGTGGTGGGCGCTGGGGGTTGATTTAAATCTAAAGTGCGATCATTTGGCAATTTATATCTTCCCCAGCACCGCTGGCCTGGCGTTATATAATTCATCAGAATTACTTCCATACATAATATGGCACACATTTACACGACTTCTATTTTCTGCTGCCGATGATGTTTTTGCTTTTGCTTTTTTTGCTAACGGTCGTGTTTTGCATTGCACCAAGGTCGCCAAAATCGCCCCGCTGACGAGACATTCTGGCGGCTGCTATCTGCTAGCTGACCAAGCCACTGCCAGTGCAGTGCTACCGCTACATACCGTTTGCAGGAATCGAAAGAGAGGAGAGAGAAGAGGAGATCTCATCGCCAGGCAACAACATGTTGGAAGTCAAAGAACTGTCTGGAAACAACAGCAGCAGCAGACGGCAGACGGCAGACGGCAGACAACAGCGGCACAGACTTTCCAGCAAGGCTATAAATGCCAGTTGCCGCTTTCACTCCTCTAGCCAGTCATAGTGCGTTTCCATTTTCTGCTGTACAGTATAGCAGCACAATGCCGCAGCTGATTGTAAAAACGAATATCTCCAAGTGCAAGGTGCCAAAGGACTTTTTTGCCAAGTCGACGCAAATTGTGGCAAACATGCTGGACAAGCCGGCGGCCGGCACCACGGTAGGGACTGCCTGATTGAATAGTAAAACAGACTGATTAATTAGTCTTTTTTTCGGTCAACTTTTTTAGGTGGTCGTCGATGCCGACGCCGCGCTGACCGTCGGCGGAACGCAGGAGCCGGCGGCGCTCGTCTGGCTGCAGAGCATCGGCTGCATCAGCCGCGCGGAGAATAAACAGTGGACGGCGCTGCTGTACCCGCACCTGCAGAGTAGTCTGGGCATTCCCGGCGACCGGATCTTCCTCCGCTTCATCGACATCAGCCGCGATGACCTCGCCTGGAATGGCAAGACCTTTGACGACATACTGCCGCCGCCTGAGTAAACGCCTGTTCTTGATTGCTGTTTACAGTAGTCACATTTGGAGAATTGAGAGCGAGGGCGATCGATACTCTCCGCTAGTGTTCTGATCCAAGATCGTTACCAGGTCTAAATTGAGACACAATAGCACGCAAACGTACACACACTATTATAATCATTTACCGTTGTTTGCACTAGCCCTTATAATAAAGTCACCCTCCCCACCAATTCTAAGTTTTTCTTTTCTCAGCGTCTTAGCCTGCTAATCGGCAGTAAATAGAAAATGAATTTGCGCACTTTGCCTCTCAGCAATGAGAAACTTAACGAGGGCATTTTAAAATTGGCCTAGTGGGACACAGTGAAGACAAACACACAGACACACACACACACACAGTTTTGTGCTTCTGAGACACAAGGCAGTGGGAAATTGGCACAGATCAATAGTCGCAGAGCACAGTTGTAGTTTTACCTAATAACAAACGGCAGCAGCCCATTTTGCAGCACTGTATATAAAAAAGGCACCTTTTACGACAGATCCAGTTCTGCCAGTTCCGCTGTGTTGTGTGTACACTAATCGCCAATCTGCTTTCAGTCCTTTTTTAAACTTTACACCTTTAGAACCCAAATCCCCCTCGGTACTTTTGATACTGAAAAAAACGATGACCAGCAGCAAAGGTAATTTTGTTAGTGGAGTTGTTTCGCCTCATCATGATGCACCACCGTGTGTGTACTTTCCAATTTTGTGCTTGTTTCATTGTTTTTTCTTCCTATTCCTCTTTTCCAATTTCTACTTTCTAAGATTACACCGATAGAGGTAAGGGTTAATTTTATGCTGATTGTAGTGATTGGCAACTTAATTACACAAATATAAATTACATTCAATTCACTGTGTGCAGTGTGCATCGTCACCGGCAGCAGTTCAGGAATCGGCGCGTGCACCGTCAAGAAGCTAGCGGAGTACGGCGCAAAGGTTTGTTCCTGAAATGTTAGAAAAACTTTGACCTTATTTACCGGTTTTTTCCCTACCTGAAAAGGTGGTCGTCACTGGCCGAGACGCCGTCCGCATTGCCCAGGTGGCCGACGAGTGCAAACAGCTGTCGCCGAATGGCTACGAGCCGCTGCAGGTGGTCTGTGATCTGACCAAGTCGGACGACATTCGCCGACTGGTCCAGTCGACCATTGATCGCTTTGAGAAGATCGACTTGGTAGCCGCCAATGCCGGCGTCTTCTCATCGGCGCTGATTGGTAAATTGTCTGTAGATATTTTTAGACGTTTTCAAAACTCTGCTTTTCTGCAGACAATCCCAAGCTGGTGGAGACGTTCGACTTTACAATGCTGACCAACGTTCGACCGGTGCTGCGCCTGTTGCAGCTTTGTGTTCCTTATCTGGAGCAATCTAAAGGTGCGATTGTGGTCACCAGTTCAATGTTGTCTTTTAAGCCGATTGCAAGTGAGTGAAAATCGAGGATTGTACGTTTGATTTTCAGTAACAATCTTTATGTTAACCTACAGTCTACATGCCCTACTGCATGAGGTACTTCTGAATGGGTGCGGATTTAGCAGAGTACCTCATTTTGATTTATTAATACAGCAAAGCTGCCCTTGACATTATGACCAAGTGTCTTGCTATTGACCTAGGCCCCAAGGGCATTCGAGTCAACAGCGTCAATCCGGCCATTGTAAACAACAACTTTATCGCTCGTTCACTTGGTAAGCTGCGTTTATGAAATGTTATCAGTTTTCTCAACACCAACTCTCATTTCTTTAGGGCTTGACTTTGATCAAATGTCAATTGAACTTAACAAAGCCGGGCAATCTTATCCGCTGGGACGTCTGGCAACTGTGGATGATATTGCAAACTTGATCTTGTTTTTGGGATCTGAAGATGCTGCATTCATTACCGGACAAAACATTTGCCCAGATGTAAATTGAGGATTCTTTTTATACTAATCAATCTAATTCTTATCAATTTTAATAGGGCGGTAGCACGTTTGCCGGAGATTCAGGTATTTTTCGGGTCTTTCCACTCTTCCTCACACTCCTAAACCCATACACCCACTCATTTACCTTTCTAACTACTTTTTTATTTGCAGAGGTGAACTAAAATCTTCAGCAGAATGGCGGATGGTCACCGAACAAAACTTATCCTTGTCAAACAACGTGTTCTAGATTAGCTCCGTACAGTACTACCATTATTAAAATGATAGAACTTTTTCCAATTAAAGCAAACATTGTGTTGACGTGTTGCAAAAAAAGAGACAAAAAGTGATGACGCTGTTCACTGCCTGTCATTTCCGCCTGTCTTTCTAGCTGTCTCTGTTATTACTCTCTTTCTTTGTCAGAGTACTGAAACAGTACCCAAACAAACAACCGATGCCAAACAACCCTGCCGCGAGGACCAGCTCTCAGGGTTCAGCCGGCAGCACGGCGAGCCAGGAGTCGGCGGGCATTGGCGCCGACCTGGACCGCACGCCCTCCAGTAACCTCGACGGCCCGCCGAACCTGACGCCGGAGGGCTTCGGCCTCGACTCGACCATCAAGGTC